CCAGGCAGGGCTGTGCTGCCAGTGGCAGGGTCCCCTCAGGGGTCAGCACTTTCTGCTCATCATCTGTATTCTAGGAAGCTCTGGCCACGTCCCCTCCTTGGAGGGGGGAATCAGCTCTCCGAGTCCTCTGATCCTCTGTCCTGCTGCTGGGGGCTGTGTGCATGGAGGGAGGGTTGGGGTTTTAGGGTTGTTTATACATTTAACAACTCCCTTTCTCAAATCTGGCTTGGGACACTGCTGGAGAACAGTTGCTCTCCCTCCAGGATGAAAGCAGAGGAGGTGGCAGTGGTGAAAATGCCAGATTTCTTCCTCACCTCTCCATGCCATCTGTGCTGAGCTGCTTTCCCTGCCCTCCGCCCTCAGCCTGTGCTCCAGAGGCCCATTGCCCCGGGAGCAGCCGCACAAGGGGACCGGTGCTGCTGGGCTCTCGGTAGAGGCAGATCCCCCTTGCTGGAGGATGCAGTAAGCAAGGCTTCCAGCACTGCTTCCTCCTCATGCTGTCAGCTTGTCCTCCCAGGGGGACATGTCCTCCTCTAAGGGTGACATGGGACCTCATTCCAGTGGCACCAGGACCTGCCTTGCATGCAGCTACCTTCTGCCTGAGACCTGTTGGGATGCAGGTGAAGGCTCAGCCCTCCAGCAGCATCCCCGGAGCCTGTGTCTCAGTTTGTTCTTTTAGGTTGGGTTTTTTGTTTTTTTAATCTGCTGGATTTGGTTTTATTTTTTTAACGCGGTTGTTTGTGTTTTTAACTGTGTGTTCTGCCCCGAGGAGGTGCTGCTTGAAATGCCTCTTCAGGGAACATGCGATCTGCTTGGGACTCACCAGTATAAAACCTCCAGGGCTGTCCTGCTCCTGGTTTCTCACCCCTGGATGAGGCTGGCATTTGCCAGGTGTCCCCTTTCCCAGCAGATCTGCTGGGAGAGGGGTTCCTGAGCCAGATAGAGCCTCAAGGCTTCCTGGCTGTGGTGCAGTGAGGTGGCCAGACATCCTGCTTAAAATGAGGGATGCACAGGGGAGAGGGGTTTGGCACTGGGGTGCTGCAAAGGGTTGGTCCCTCACCGATGCAGAACTGCGTGCCACGACTGTCAGCTCTGCGGGGCTAGAGCAGGTACAAGGTGAGCTCTGCACTCCGGGGCCAGCAGTCAGTCGAGAAGGTGCCTCTGCATCGCAGGGGGATGCTTTAGCGCATGGCACAGGTGAGTGTCCAGCACCACCTTAGCACGGGTGGGATGTGGGGTGGCAGTGGGGTGTTTGGAAGGACGGTGTGGCCTGTGTACGTGTGAGAAGGGCGTTGAGGGACTGGGGAACAATGCACTGGCAGAAGGTGGCTAAGGGCAATGGCTCTTGCAGTGTGTGTCCTGACCTGAGGCTGGGATGTGACCCCTCGTGGGCTGTCCCTGTGTGGGTGGCAGGGTCGGGGAGGGGAGAGCCTGGGACCAGGAAAGGTGACTACTTGGCTTGCTCGGAGAGGGGGGCTGCAAGCCTCACTGCTGGGGGCCAGGCTGCTGCATGGCAGCATCTCCTGCTCTGCAGCATCCTGACAAAGCCAGGTCTAGCTTGGGAAGGGGGTTCAGCTCCCCACTTGCTCCCCTGGGGTTTTTGCTTCCTCCTGTCTTGTTTCTGCTTGTTTTCCCCTGTGGAGAAAACAAGCAGCTGCTCCCACAGGGGAGCAGCTGCTCTTCTGCTTCCTCTCCATCTCTGCAAGCCTCAGGGCTGCCAGATGCTGGGCTGCCTTGGTCTTGCCTGTCCCCAACCCCAAGCTGAGCCCTCCCGCTGCCACCTGGAGCTGGCACCTCCTTCCCTGGAGCAGCCTCAGCAGCACACCTCCATCCACCCTGTTTTGTTTGAAGCACTTTAACGTCATGGGACAGCAGCTGAGAGGCTGCCCACACCCCTTTCTAGAAGCACTGAGTATATTTAAAGAGGGAAGGGATTTTGGCTTATTTGTGGTTTCCACCCTCCACCATGGACTTTGTCTGGAAGCAGTGGGACTTGCAAACCCAGCGGAGGTCTCCAGGGCAGGGTTGTGCCCAGCACTGACACTGCTGCCCAGCACTGACTGCTCCAAGTGACCCTGGAACTGGCTGGGCTCTTTGTAAGGGAGAACAAGGGGCTGCCCCGTCCACCGGCTGGAGCCCTCACACCGGACTATGGCACAGCGCAGCAGTGAAAATGCCGTCCCTAATAAACTGTTAATGAGGGGTCTGGTTGTGTTGTGGCATCGTTTCAGGTGGGGTAACAGTGTGTGTCCCTCCCCTCTCAGCCCCCCCACTTTGGGGTCAGTGGTGCAGTGCCTATTGGCCCCTGGGGCAGGGAGGGAGCAGGATGCACTAGATGATGTCGGGCGACAGTGGGGGGACAACTTGTGCAACAGGTGATGCAGTGCCAGATGTCACTGGGAGGGGGTTATTGTCACCACCCCTTGACTAATCCCTCTGGTTTGTGGCCTCCCCCTGCACACTGCCCACAGGACTCAGGGCAGGAGGTACAAGCACCGAGTAAGGGGCTCTCTAACGCCTGTCCGTGTGCCTTTGCTGCTAGCAGAGGGGCCCAGGGACATGGCCTCAGCTGCCCCATCCCTGTCCCACACAGCCCGGCTCTCCCCTCGCAGCAGTGTCGTGCATCACCCCACTAACACCATAGACACAGGAGACAGAGTCTGTAAACTTTATTGAAGCTGTTGAAGGATGTGTGTGCAGGCCCAGCCCAGCGCTGGCTCCGCACAGAGCGATGCAGGACTTCCCTGCAGGCAGCATGGCATGAGGAGCCAGTTCCTGGGGGATTTTCCCTGGAAGAGCTCTGCTCAGCCTATAGCTGAGCTATGGTGAGCAGCAGCAACGGCAACTTGGGCTTACTCCTGAGCACAGTGGGGGTACAAAAGGTTTCTGGCAGGTGTGGGCACGCTGAGGATGGGCTCTCGCAGCTGCCAG